GCCTTTTATGGCCATTAAGTGATAATGCGAATGATTTTTAAGCATCTAAAGCTTAACACTTTCCTTAACTTGTTTCAGCTATTTGTGCAGCGAGTAGTTTATGGCGACTTTTTCGCCTTTCTTCAAATTATCTATGGAGTCCCCGTGGTCTAACGAAGGCCGCCAATCTGGAACTAGGCGAAATCAACATGTTTTGGATGTTCGAAGCTATTCATATCAGCCGAACGACAATGGACAGCATTCGACTCATTTCAGTACGGAAACCCCCAGTTCCACACTTCCCTCCGCAAAATCGGACAAAAATGAACTTGTGGAGAAATTTTTGTCAACAAAGTAGGAAAGCCATTCGTATTAGCCTTAGTGCAACGGTTGTAATGACGACGACCCGAGAACACCTTAGCCGCTATCTCAGGGTTCTTGTGGAAAGAATTTTCCCTATTCAGCAAGATAACAGTTATGGGAACTAATGATTGTGAACAGAGATCATCTAAACATTCAACTAAGTAAGAGAGTAGAAGAGAACAACGGAAATCCATAAGCACATGAATGTCCCATCTTTCCATCCTCAATAATAATTGTACTAAGGAAAGCAAAATTTCCGTTTGACAGGTAATTCGCTACTTTTGGCATTCGTCGATCCCTATGGACCGTTTGATTCAAGTACCCAACTGCTTCTTAAACTAGACAACCTTACCCTACTGGAGGAATGTGACTCCCAAGATGTAAACCTCATCTCGGCATCCAGCAACGCCCCACAGTCACCATGAAGTGGTAAACCACTGAGAGATGGAAAGCCTGTTTACAACTTTTTTTCTCTAATATATGTTTCGCACATTTGAGAAGTTCCGTTGGAAATCTTATAGATAGCAAGTCCTCAATAATTTTGGTATGCTCTGGCAGAATAATTCACACTTCTTGAAAGGCGGCTGTGTAAACAAAACGACAGCACCAAGGATCGAACCGAAGTAAGTGCAAACATCCGCCGACATCGACAACATTGAACGGAAATGAACTTTACAGTATATCTTAAGAAAATTCTAGCTCATTTTCCCCTAAATTAAAAGTGATTTAGTTCCAGTCATAGTAGTAAAATCGATTACTATGTGAAAAAAATTAAAGTTCAGAACTGTATAAAATACAATAGCAAAACAAAAAAAGTACTCCACTGGAAAATATTTGACAAGTCCTTTAAGAGTTTTTTTGATAGGTTTTCCAACTGCATGCTTTCTATAGTATGCAAATGGCACAGCGGTTAGAGGTGCTTTGCACCACGCATTGGATTGATCCCAGTTCGATCCCACCATTCAGACCAAGCCTCCCCACGCTCATTGCTACCAGGCTTGCCTGTGAAGGTAAACTCCCCGCAAGTCATTATATAGGCCAAATGCTCCCATTCAACCACCTACATAATGCTGCAAATGGAGTCGAATACAAGACGCATCCCAAAAGAGTTTATTAAAGTCGGAAGTTTTGCATCTTTTAACGCTTCTCTAACAAAATTGAGAGAAGACGAAGAGGTCGAGACGTTAGCCAAATAAAGTTGTTTAACAACCTCGTGTTAGCGCTTCGGTGAAAGAATGCATAAGTTGGAAAATTTTATGTCTGCATATGAACTTTTTCATTTTCTCCGCCGTTTATCGCCATTCGGAATGAAGTCGATTTCATCAGCTTTGAGAGAGGATGTTGGGCGTAGTTGATGAGAGAGCGAGGTGATGTCGGAAGTGGTCAGCGCTATTTCGCAAGAAGTCGATGATTCATCAGTCGCTGAAGAATTTGCTCCTTCCAAAGAAATAGACGAAATTTGAAAATGTTCGTTGAATGTCAAGTTTTCACTGTTTCTTCTCTTATTTTCTCTGTGCCACTAATGTTATCTAACACCGCTTGATGACTGATGATGATGGAAATGATGAGTCAACCGGTTTGAAATGTTAAACGGAAAACATCTGAGAGAAGAACCAATAGCAATTTGCAATGAAGTCATCTCTCATGGACCTCAAGTAAAAACTTAAAGAATGGTGCTTTACTAAACCGATTTTCACTTAACCTCGGCGTGAATAATTAGTAAGTTTTTTGGATTTTAAGTTCTTAAGAATTAATTCTTCATGCAAAAAAGCTGACCTCTCACAAAATCACAGTGATGCTAAGATAACCACAATGATGCCGAGATATTTTCAAAACTCCGGACCGCAGGTGTCTGTGGTGGGGAACGAACGCGCTATTGTCTTTTCCGGGGAGTACCGCGCTCACCACCACACCGTGCGGTTCCTTCGCTTCGCGTGTTTCTCAGCTATTTCTATCGATCAGTGCCATCAGCAATCACCCGTCAACGGGATTGATCTGATGAGCCCAAATCGGCATTGAACCCAGTTAAGCTGAGGCTATAGTTGAAATTCACAGCGTTGACCTTTTATAATATCTCATCATCATTATGGCTGTTTCACAAATACTACCTTGCCATGGAAACTTCTAAAAGGCACTAAATACAAAGTCAACATTGATACTAAGATATTTACAAAAAAAGAGCAGCTGAGAGAAAGGCAAAGCCAAGGCCTCAGTAGTGCTGTGTTGGCTGTCAGAAAAGGTAATTGCGCGTTCGAACCTAGCCTGGGATCCTGCTCTTGCAGACATCGCAGCATTATTATAGTTGTATCTCACATAATACCCCCACCATGATAAACTGATAAGCAGTAAGTAAAAAGTTAAACATTATAAGTTATAGTAAAATTCTTCGTGTAAAGTCGAAGAAATTTCATATTTATGGAAAGCTTTTATCATACATTTTTTCCGTAAAAGTCTTTTGAAACATTTCCTTTTACAAGAGGAAGAGGGAGAGAGAGAGAGAGAGAGAGAGAAAGGAAGAAGGAAGGAGAGAAAGAGGGAGAGGTTTGGGTGATTTATTGTTGTGACAGCGATTTCACATTTCGACCGCATTATGTTAAATTTTCCAAGTCTTGAGTAGATAGGTAGCTCTAGAATGTGAAGAACTCGAAAGAGGTAAGTTTTCAAGACTATTGTCGATTCATGTCGGGTTTCAAAACGTTTTTCCCGTTTCATTCTCACGACAACTTTACCGTCACCGGAAGTTTGCATAACGTCGTTTACAATGCAAAATCCTATTACGGTTATAAAAATTGTCACGGTTCGGTATGGAATGATTCCAGTTATGCAAATTTTGCGCTAATTCTTTCTCCTCGGTCGGCATAGGTTGTTGACAGATCCATGCAGTTCATCTCCAGCGAAAATTCTTTTTCATAAAATAATCGACATGAGAGGAAGCCTTGTTGCAACTGATATTGAAGAGCACTTAAGTCAGACTTAAAACTGGAAAAGACTTATCAGTACCATATTCAAGACAGTTAATAAAGTATGTAACTTTGTACACAGAGGTGCGCTTCAATACACACCAGATCACTGGTTCGATCCTGCGCCCAGGACTAACCAAATTCGCAACTTACTGCAAACTCGGCAAAAAAAAATTGTGCTAAATTAGTCCGTGAGGATAAAACACCAACTTCATACATCAGAAGGTTGACTGCAATTTATTGCACAAACCACACATCCCCATTGGGTCACTTCTACGATGATACGAATGGAGTAGAATCCGTAGAGCATCCTTGAGATATCGATCAAGCCAAAACTCTTTGGCTTTTCTAACTTATTTTACTTCTATGCAGTCTTGATTTCTTCAAGACAAGATTTCTTGAAACAGTATTGATTATTAGGAGCTTTCGATTGACTAGAAACCATTTTGTTCTTGTTAAAAATGGAAAATTATTGCATTTGACGCATTAATACTCACTGATTAGATAAAGCAAACGGCACACTTTTCCACTTTGTTTGTTTCATTTCCAAATATAAGTATTGATTTTTCCTTTCATATATGAAAACACAAAGTTGATGCGGATGGTAACAAGAAAAGAAGTGATGAAAGATGAAAAAGAAACATGAGAAAAATGACATAAAAACGATTTCATTGAAATCAGTACAGTTGGAAGTACAAAGGAATTCGAGGAATTTCGAAAACGATGGACAAAAAGTTCTATGACATCTTCTGTTTTTCGTACAGTATGCTTCCTACAGAGCTTAAAACAACAACAAAATATCTAGGAGATAGAGATTTTTTGCCCGATAAGACCTCCGCTGTATCCACTCACTGAACGCTTGCAATAAAGAGAGCCCATTAGTAAAATTATCATAGGTAAGTGTGAATAATAAGTATTGATCCTTCAGAACGACAATTCCCATATCATACCGCTGTCGATCTATGGATCGGTAAACTACTTGCAAGAATCGAATCGCTGCTGCCTTGGAAGAATCCTATCCGCACCTATCATATTCACTGATGACCACCGTCTCTGCTGAAAGCCCGGAATCGCCCGAGTACATTGGGAATCCGGGATTTCACGAATACCACGGTCAATCGGTATCATGCGATTTAGACGAGAAGATGACAGATCGTCAAGTTGCAGCTGAATTCATGTACGAGTTTGAGCACAGCTCAGTGGACGACTATTGAGACAACGAAGCGAGTGGAAGAAGTGCTGAGGTTCAAACAAATGATTCTGGAGAAAGACGGTAGAAAAAACCACATAAATTAATAAGACTGTTTTCCAACTGGGATAAACCATAGAGAATTAATAGTCATTCGATTTGTAATCATTTTGCTGATATTTCTATTCGCACTTGTCTTCATGTGACATTCATTTCAAACCAAAATAAAAGTGAGTCATAGGAAAGAAACGAATAAAGGGAACCATGACGAAGAAGTATCTAAGCTTATAAAGACGCTATTCAAAGGCCTTGCCCATTTCCAGTTCAAAGAAACCACAACAAAAATTTCATGGCGAAAATATCCCTTTACTTTTCTTCCTCTTGGGTCAAAACACACTTGAAAAGAGAGGGAAAAACATCTCAGATTTCTCAAATATTTGTTTCACACTTTCGTTAAGTAGAAGAAGTGTAGGAAGCAAATTAGTAATAAGACCATGAAAGGACCATACCTTAATTTCAAATTGTCAACAATACTTGACAAGTCGATTTCCGTAAGCAGCACGAGGTCTTCGACCCCGAATTCCTTGGGATCATGCTCGGCTACAGCCATTAGCCTCTGGCAAACCAATCGATATCATTCAATAGTAATCGATAGATCGTCGCATAAATCAACATCATAGTAAGTCGTGAAGTTGAAAATTCGAAAAGGAAAACAGCAACGAACCCGCTCAGAAGTGATAGAAATATATACAACATGATCTCTTATCTTACGAAAAAAGTGTTGAAATGAAACATAGTGAAGAAAAGCAAAACGAAATAATAAAAAGGGATGACAAAAAACTATACCGGAGTACTTGAAAAAGGCGAGAAAGGAAAAAAAGTTGTAGAGAAAAGAATTTAAATGAGAAGCAGAACACAGAGGAGGGAGGAGAGAAAGAAAGAGAGAAAATGAAAAAATGAAATAGAACATGAAACAAGGCGAAAAATCAACTATCGATTACTACGGGTAAATGTGGTCGTCAGCCGATCGCCTACTATGCAAATGAGAAACTCTTTGGGCGAGATCGTAGTCAATACACGTTCCTGAATACTTTGCAATATTATGCCATTGCATTCTATTTTGTCCTCCCATGAAAAAATAGTAGGCAGTAAATAAAAAGTCATACAGTGTGATTTAGACTGAAACCTCAGCTTAACTGAGCTTGGTGGCGATTAGTGCTAACCAGATCATTCCCGTTGACGGATGAATGTTGATGGCACCTTTAGGGTAACAAACTGGCTGGAAAAGCCAAATCAAGGGCATCAGTGGGGCAGTGGGCAACACGTGGGCCCTTGGAAAGGGTAAACGCGGGTTCGAATCTAGCGTGCAGTGGGGGTTTTTCAAATATCACAGCCTCATTGTAGTTAGATTTCACATAATACTATGCTTTGAAAAAATAGTAGGTAGTAAACAAAAAGTTATACACTGCAATTTAGAATGACTTGAAACGATAGCCTCTTGATACTCCAACCGCACATATCCAACATGAGAGAATTTTTTGCAACAATTTTCCAAATGACAACTACAACCAATCGGCGATTACTAGCACTAATCGACATAGCAACGAATGGTCTGGAATAGTTGCCTAATAGGGGTTCAGGCGATGATCCACAAAGAAATCCAAAACTTTTGACGTTTTTAAATAATTTCCAGGATCGACTTTCTATTAACTTCGGCGTTGGATTATAAATATATCGTTTACTGAGTCGGAAGATTGTTAAAAAAGAAACCGACATAGTTATTAAATAACTGGAAATCGCTCCCAGACAAAACGACGTCATCAAAGTATTTCATAAATTTTTCTGGAGTGGGAAAAGTAAAACGTCGAGAAAATAGGAAGGTCGTATTAAGCCTCAACGTATTGTTTGCAGATCAAAGTAATGAGAGTGAAATTAACTAAGTACTAATGTAATAGCACTATAACACAGCTAAATAATATAGTTATAGTAAGAGTGTGGCATAGTGGTTAGAGATGCCTTGCAATTCACACGTGGTCATTAGTTTGATCCTATGCCCTGCGCCATTCAAGATCCTCATCCCTGCTGAGTCTGTAAACTGGTGCCGAGCTAGGCTGTGAAGACAAAAATACTGATTCGATCCCTCTGCAGGCCACAGCGAGGTCACAAAAAGCATTTAATAACCTCTACGGTGTTAAGAATGGAGTTCAATGCATGGCTCATCCACTGAGGAGGAGAGTTCGATCACCGCAAAATTTATCTCAGTTCAATGAGAAAGAAAAAATAGAAGTAGTAGAATAAATGTAATATGACATAAAAAAGTGAGCAACGCAGAAGGCGAAAACGACGAGGTAGTGACTTTCCGTCCTATTTTAAATTTCAATAGACAAAACACTTTTAGAAAAAAAGAAAGGCAGGAAATATCGCTGAATACCAAACCTCCTGTCGGTCGGCCGTTGTTCGGTTTAGCAACCAACATTGGCAGCAGTCGAGGATGAAGGTGGGGGTGTGCGTCTTAGACGATGGCGGGTGATTCAAGATGGGGCGGAGTCACAACAATGTAGGAGACGAGGCGATGAGCGAATGAAAATAATGAAGGAAATGACGGCAGGAAAATGAGACGAAATGGATGAGAGGAGCTCGTTTTTCAAATTTTAGAGCGTATTTAAGAGGTCAGATGCAAATGCTCAGTGGTTCTCGATATGATACCCGGATTCACGACCATGCCCGAAGAAATCCATAACAGAGACGACGAAAGACAGGTAAAGAAATGAATAGAAAATGACTTGGTGCTAGAGCTACAGAAGCCATCCAATTATCTAAAGTACATGTTACAGGCATTATTTCCTTTGGAAGGAAAACTTTTAACCTATGTCCACAAATAAAATAATGACCATAGCAGTGGGGGAAAAATCGCGTTGGTTAGTGATGCCGTCGATCAGGAAGCAATGCGCTGGTTTGACCCCCTCCTTAATGCTCTCCTCCAGTCAGCAACAGCCGAAACAACGGGTAAAATTTTCGAAGGTCTTTGTGAATGCGATGACAACGAATCGAATCCAAGAAGTGCTCCGACCTGCACAGTGGATGTAACGACCGATCATGTAAAATAAAAAAAATCAAGAGGTCAAGGAGGAAAATAGTCGGTTAAAAACACAATCAACCAGCGAATACAAAATCATTACTTCACCGTTACTTTTAATGAAATTATTTAGTTATGAAAAGGATGAAAATAAAGCAAAAAAACAGAGTTTCATAGTTCTTCCTTTGCAAGATGACTGTATGAAAAGCTCGACATCAGAAGAAAATACTGAAATAAAGCTAAAAAGGATAAAGCTGTCGGCGTTGATCAATCCCTGAGGGATGCGCCATGCACTCGACTTCATTAAGTGTTGTTTGGAGGTGATTGAATGCATATCTAGCTTTTACAACAATTCGCGTTGGCCTACCGATGTATCGACCAGTGCTGCCATCCTCCCAGACAAGACCGTTACCAGTTTGCAGAACCTGGAGGGTTGGAAGGCTTAGTGAGCCACGGTCGCGTGGACCGATTCCACGTGCGTGTTGGCGGGTGCCTCCGACCACTGCGCACACGTGCCCTTTATTAAAACTAGAATGTCGAGCATAAAATCGCTACATTAGAAGTTGATAAAAAAACTTAAATAAGTAAAAGGATGTAATTAAGGTTTAACGAAAAATGTTAACGACTAATAAATAATAAACTAATAAATAAGTGAACCCGAAAAAGCTTGGTAAAAGTCCAGAAAGAGGGAGAGAGGGAGAACGAGAAACTGAAAACATACAGAGAAATAGATAGGAAGATAGACACACAGAGGGATATGGATAGGAACAGAATGTGGAAAAAGGTAGAGGGGTTACCAATGAGCAATTTCATCAAAAGATCAATTCATTTACAAAATCAAACAAGCCCAAGAGAAATTAAAGAAATGATGTTAAACTTAGGAAAATGAAGCATAAGAATTGAAAGTGAGCATAGAAAGCTTTCTGAACGGAACCGTTTACTTAAAAGAGCGACAATGACAATTATTGCGAAGAATGAAAATGGAAGGGCGAGCAGTCTAGAAAAGCATACAAAGACGTCTACAGGAAAGAAATGATAAGAAAAATAGAGGAGCAAAAAAAGCATAGAGACCGAAAACGTAAAGGAAACTATGGCCACTATGTAGGTAACAGGATGTGTGAAAGTCATGCTTCACTTCAGAAAACAGTATCATTAAGTTTTACCTTTTATTTTCTGCCTACTACAATTTTCACGGCAGAGTACTAAACGACCTGCAACCACAGCGTTGCTGAGGTGTTTGCAAAACTCTGGACCGCAGGTCTCTATGCTGGGGAAAGAGCGCGTTATTGTCCTTTCCGGGGAGCAACGTGTTCACCACCGCACCATGCGGGTCTTTCGTTTCGCCTGTCTTTCAGCTAGTTCTATCGATCATCGATATCGATTTTGCAAATATCTCAGCAACGTTATGGCTGTATTTCGCTTAGTACCCTGCCGTGAAAATTGTAGTAGGCAGAAAATAATAGGTAAAACATTGTGATTTCAACTACAGCCTCAGCTTAACTGGGTTCAATGCAGATATGGGCTACCAGATCAATCCCGATGACGGATGATTGCTGATGGCACTGATCGATAGAACCAGCTGAGCGATAGGCGAAACCAAGGACCCGCACGGTGTGGTGGTAAACGCGTTACTTCCCGGAGAGGACAATAGCGCGTTCGTTCCCCATCATAGACACCTGCGGTCTAGACTTTTGCAAATATCTCAGCAACGTTGTGGTTCTATTTCATTTAGTACCCTGCCGTGAAAATTGTAGTAGGCAGAAAATAAAAAGGCAAAACATCATGATGTGATAGTTTGTTATTTGAATCGACATGATCAGCAACGGATTGGTTGACTAACTACACGTTTTCACGAAAAACCATCAACACCTTATGAACCATCATTACTTTGTATTCTTTCTTGATAAGCTTACACGAGGTTGATAAATATATTTATTTTCGGCTAACGTTTCGACGTCTTCGTCTTCCTCAGAGCCGGTGATCACCGGCTCTGAGGAAGACGAAGACGTCGAAACGTTAGCCGAAAATAAATATATTTATCAACCTCGTGTAAGCTTATCAAGAAAGAATACATATTGATTAATCACACCGAGGTTTAGGGAAGGTCGGTTTCGAAACATCA